TCGTAGTTTCTTGCAGCTAGGTCTAGAAAACATCGAGAGAGGGATTAATTTTTTCCCTTAGTACAGTACGCCACATGGTTAGCAATCGCGAAATACTCGAATGATAGCAAGTCTTCTTCTTTTGATAATGAGACTTATTGTATGTTGAAAAGTTCTAATCTAACCGAACTTACCACATGGCCCCTGGTCGCTTCGTTCCTAGAATGCCCTCGTCATTAGCTTAATTTAAACAAAGCTCTCTCTGTCGTGCTATCGAAACAGAGTTTCTCGACTCTGGCAGACAGGTATCTCAAACCCCCTCAAAACCCGCCAACAAGCTTAAATGACCTTCCTTTTCCCCAAAGCCACTTTCCTTTAGACTTCTTCTAGCGTTTCTAGCAGCCCCTCAGAGTCTCCGAGTTAATCTAGGGGAAGCCGTTTATTACCTCGTAGAAACATAGCCTTTTGTTTCAAGGTAGAAGGCTCTCAATTACTGAAACAAAGGCTTTCACACGCTAAACCGTTCCTTGCTTGTGGTCCTAGTCAACCTAGGCGTGTTGCCAATTAAAAATATTGCTCTAGCGATATTCGACCCTGTATTCGGCCACCAATTGTTGTAGTGATCAAAAAACGTTGACATTTATACAGTCGTATATTGCTCATCTCTTATTAGTTAGGCGAAATCATGTGGTTCCGCGGAATCGAACATTTTATATTAGCAATTATCGTGCTGAATATTTAAGGCATCAAGATAACCTTTTCTATTTTTGCTTCTGCATGCATTAGTAAACTAGGTAAAACTCTACCCATATATAAACTGACTTACTTACTCATTTGACGAAATAAAATATTGGAGATTAATTACGTCTTGATGACCATCAAAAAGCCGAACAAGGCCAAGGGAGTTATGAATCCGAAATGACGAAGGACATAGCTAAGTCGACTGCAGTGAACGTTTCCTTTTTGCAGAAAGAGATTTCCTTTGACCGTTGAAGCCCAGTTTATGGTAGCTTAAACACATCAAAAATAACACATTACGTTTCAAAGTGCTTTAAGTCATACATGGCTCACTTCTGTGCTTATGGTATTGCCCATGATAATGGCTTTCTCTGTTCACCTGCCACTTTATTATGTTCTATAATTGAGATTCCCAGATTCACCTGCAGGCTAAGCCCTGAGAGTTTCGAGTGAATCGGCACTAAAAAAATTGGTCATTTAAGAATACGAAAAAACCTTAAGCCTCGAGAGTTTTTAGGCAATTCATAGAATGCCGTTTCTCCTAGTTTTCCATCAGTAGACTATATTCCCACTGGCCAGTAAGCAGCCTGAATTTGATTGAAGTCGGGGAACAGAGGCCATCGTAGCTCCTATCAAACGTTGTGAAATGTCCTAATCTGGGTCATTTACGCGTCTAGACAGATTTGCCTTCGCCTCCATAGGTTCTTAGCAAAATCAGCTTGTCTCCGAAAATCCGGCGTGGTGCGGACCCGCGGAAGAATCGAGAACCTGGTACCGTTCAACTGGGCGAAAGAGAGAATGATGGCAACTGGCGCAGCGTTAAGCCTCCAAAATTGTTGCAAAAGAGCTTGCAAAGTTTTCCCCTTTCTACCACCTGCCTGTTCTAACCCTTTCAAGTTTCTCGCGGCAAGCTTGTACCACCATGGCACAATGCAACTCAACCAGAAAGGATCCAAGTGCAATCTATTTCTTTCCCGCTGCCTCAAAAAGAGAATCAGCTTTTGCTTCGGCATTTCCTAGTCTTCTGTCTGTTGCAGTCAGTGGCATCGCGAGCGTTAAGCCAGCTCAATGGCGGCCGAGTCAACGCAGGACGAAAAGGGCTATTAGAGGAAACTGGCGTTATAATGCCACAACGAGCAGCCAATAGGAAGAAAATTCATTGCCCCTGTAGTGGATGATATTATCGTTATTGTTATGATATTTTATGGTTTTTTACCCTAATGATGAATCTTCATCAACGAGGAAAGGTGAAGAAAGGCCTTTTAACGTTTTCGTTACAGCTCCAGCTATGTTGAGACGTGCAGAAGAAGCAACATTTTTTCAAAACTAGGCAGAACTAACATGTCCATTAATAACAGCGTAATAAAATGGATAGCCTTACTAGTACCTTATCGGAGTGTGGAGATGTGTCGTATATATATATAAATGACGCTTAGCTGAAGAGTCAACTTGACATAATAGTGTATACACCCGACAACAATTCAAGTTTGACGATTATCTACATGCGACTCAGACTTGGGCTATTGTTGCATTGAACTTGCTTCTGCTTTTCTGTGCTGTTCCTGGGTATTACCCACTGTAATTTCATGCAAAGATGCTTGGAGCTATTTATGTACTCATGTCAATTATGTTTCCAGTAGGAAGTTTCCTAGATGCTAATTATTTATTGTGATTTAATAGTTTAACTTTCCCTTCATAACAATAGCATCAACACCGTTCAAACAGCGTCGATGTTTGGGATGGTGAATTCTTGTGGGGTAACACTTTTCCTCGTACTACACGCATGCAGGGAAAATACGAACGAACTTATCATTTCGTCGGCATTTTGGCTTTAGCCTGATCTGTGTAGGAGATTGCGTTTCGGTCTGACAGATTGCAAGACAAGCACGATCTGAATTTCCTACGAATGCTAGCGCTTTTTCGGCACACGTTATCAATAATTTTGCTTGCAATTGTCTGCACGACGAAACTCTGCCGTACCTCCCATTGGGTTTCTTTGAACCGTACACATATATAGATATAACGATGGATGGGTAGTAACGACAACATACTGAGGGAGGCTGCTTATTTCCGTGGGGCTAACGGCACTCTCGCTACAGTTTCAGTAACGTCGTCATAGCAACTCTAGGTGAACTTGCCGGCTCCTTGCACCACAGTTTGCGGACTGCGTCGTGGGCTGGAGGGGAGTTGCGAGGAATATGGATTAGGCCTGGAACGCCAGCGACAGGGGCTTATTGTCCTTACCGGTAGCCGCGATGGTAGCAGCGCCAGAAACGGTTGCCAAAACTGTCCATGAAACTCCTTCACCAGGAAAACCCTCACAGCGCTTACCGTAGCATGACATAGTAAAGATGGCTTAGAGCCTAGTCTCCCAACCACTACGAAGGGAGGAACTGATAAATAGGTGAAGCCTTGGGGAATTCGAGGGCGAGAAAACGCTCCGAGGTGTCGGGACATCGGGCATAAGACGCAGAAAGAAGAAAGAGATGCGAATCAAGTAAGGACTTCGCTCCACCTCGCTGACTGCACACTTCTTCAGATGCGAGCGGTAAGGACGGCATGGCTGGGAAACAAGGCGCAGTACTGGTGGCGGTCGAACGAGAAGGTGAAGGAGCTAAGTAAATGGGGTTGTCTAGCGTACGGCCTGGACGAGGAAGACGCAGTACGGAGAGAGAAATAGAGGCGTCCCGTATCTGACAGCGGCGGTCTTTGTTTATGGAAATGCCCCAGTGGAGGAACCTTAACATGGCGATGTTCGGACTGCCATACCTACGCTCCTGACTGCGCCTAGCGCTTTGCCTGCAGCCTTTTCACTCTCCACCACCGGCAGACCGACGCCGCCGATTGCGACGAATCTACAGACCGGACTGCTCGATCTCGCTAGCCTGTTCCACCGGCTCCAGTCGGCGCCTCGCCATAGGGTGGCATCATTCGTTCGGAAGTAGAGCTGCAGCTAGTGCTTCTCGAAACAGCCGCCTGGGGGAGTTAGGCCCGACCTACTAAGGGCATGATAATAGGGGTGGTGAAGGGTAAGGAAAGCTTGGGGGATGGTTCCTAGCTACCTAAGTTTAGCCGGCGGCCTTCCGATTGGTCTCTACAGAGAAGCTAAGCAATTTAAACTTTGGTGCTTTTTTCCGCAAAGACGAACGTCCGTTTCCGATCACAACGGTACGGTTGAGCTCATCGGACGGCTTGACCCTTCGGGGCTCTTGGTGCACAGTACCAGAAGTTTTGCTGAGATGAGTAGTCTGATACTTGATGCTCGTTGGCCGGCTGCCTGTTTTGTTGTTTCTTCTCCTTTAGAAATAAATAGAAACCTCCTCGTCATCATTGAGTTTGATCACCAGCTATCATTTTTCGGTTCCTGTTTAAAGACTGTTTAAAGTCATGCTCCAAACTAAAATTTAAAAAAAATAGAAGTTCGAAGGAGAGGCAGCGGAAGTCACTTGTAACGACGCAATGAAGTGTAGTATGGTTAAAGAGTATATCAATAGGGAAAGCTTCAAAGTACTAAGCTTCACTTTCCATTGATTAGGTTGTGAGGTTGGTCCACGGTTCTGTCTAACCTCAACGTACCTGTTAGATTGTTCACACTGTACACATACCATTTTGCCTTGAACCTTGATCGGACATGTTGAGTACAGGCTAACCTATAGCGATTTAAAATAGTATCGTGACGTAGCAATTACTTAGGTTACCCGAGTTAGGTGGGTTAAGTTATAAGGACGTTAGGAAATGATTATTAAAGTTAAAGACAAAACTAATCTCTTTTTTTTCTCAAAATATGTTAATAACATCACCGCAAAGAAATATACATATTACCGTCGATCTGTTAAACGATCCACGATCCTGACAAAGCTTCAATTTTTACGTGATTCCACATTTTGCGCTTTCTGCTAACTAGTAAAAAAGGTTTTTATTTTTTCTTTCAAGAAGCTGCTCGGCAATCGACTATTCTTTATATTCATACGCTCATATGGTTATTTATGTATCTTTATTAGATGCATGAGATCTCGCGGCTCGTCTGCCCAAAGTCTGGGAATACTTCACGCTGTTTTGAACTTCAAGGTTAGCTTTGTTCAAAATGACAGGCCCATATTTGAGAAAGCAAGCAGCTGTCACAAACGAAAACACTGAAAGACTTCGACATAATCGCTCGTTATTATTACAAATGGTTTTATCCGTATTATGCTATACGAAACTTACGAATCTCGCTCTGCCTACATCTAATTGCCTATATTCATTATTATTATTATTAACAAAGAAAAACACGTTTATACAGGCAATAAGTCGACTATAATTTTTACTGAACACTATCATGTTATCAATAATTTTGTTAGTATGGGCCATAACAACCAACAATCTATACGCTGCAAGTTGAAACCTGCAGAGTGAAGATATAATGTTTTCATTTTATCATCATACCGTGCATTTAACATTGAAATGGGTTTAAGAAGATGACGCTCATATATATATATATATATATATATATACTCATACTCTAGAGTATTGCAGTGCTTTGACAAATACGTTTAGCAATGTTAAAGTTCTCCATAGTCCTCATTATGGCAGCATCTTCTTTAACGACAATTAAGAACGATACGTTACCTTCTTAAATGCTCGATAATCACCAACCTTTTTACTAGTCCTTGCGATCAACTGATTCATCTTGGCCAATGTTTTAATGGCACCGCTCTATGATCTAGTCAGTAATTATCTCGTGGTCGGTAATCTGGCGGTAATCATCATTTCGATCGACGATGAATATATACTGTGATATATGGCACATAAATATATACTAATTATATGATGATTACCCATACGCCATTGGAACACCTGACATTGGCCGAATACTACCGGCACAAATCGGTGGACTAACTGGGCCGTGTCGATGTATTCACTCGCCCCTCTTCAGCCAAATCTCACCACACGGTCCTATAAGTTATGACCATCGCCATTTTGCGTCAAGGCACCATTGTGCCAATCAATTCGTGGTAAACGATCAACATTCCCTGCAGCTTTGAAGGCTAGTGTCGCGCACGATCCGAAATAGCTGCGTAGCCACTACACAGAGTGCACGATGCAGTTACTCTTAGACTCGCTTGGCAGCAGCTGAAGCTATAGAGAGGGACACTGCGAAATAATTAATGAAATTAATGATTAGTACCTAAGACAAACGGTTCGATTCTATTGGAGGAAGGTACTAAAAATGATCTTGAAGGTCCCTCAATTGCTCGTTCCGTACAGGTGCACGCAGGATTGCCAGGGTGGGCTACACACGCCTGGTCAAGCGTATGTGAACGATGAAAGCCAGAAGCTCGAACGACGGTCTTCACGAACGTTTATGCTAAGCAAGAAAGGGCCAGAAAAGTCGAGCGGCAGAGACCTGTAAATAGCAAGGAAATAGTAATAATGAAATTTGAAAATTATAATCACAGCTTGTATGGTCATTTACATTATTTTAGGAAACCCTCGTTCCCTCACATACTCTCCACCCCTCTTCCTAAAGTGTTCAAGAAAGCTTAGACAGAACAAGCGTCCTGAATCCACTGATTTTTCAGCCTTTCTGTACGCCACCCCTTCGCCAACTGATTTAATGAAATTGTCACAAAAAATTGTCGGTAGTCGCAGTTAGAGCGACAGGGGGCAGGGATACAGACAAAAATCTGATAACGCAAAACGACATTTCAAAGTGTTGGGTTGATCTGATAGAAACGAGCTGAAAGTAAATAACAACCCGTTGTTAGCCGAGGCTCATATCTAGAACAATGAATGTGTTTGTAGATCTGTGTTTTGCGAGTAAGCACAGAATTAGTACATTACAGGGTTTCGAAATGGCATTGCGTCATTGGACGAAGGCGTACTACCGTACTTCTTTTTTCTTTTTTTCTTTTTTATGATAAATCGACCAGTATCGAATTTGATCTAATCATTTTGGCGAGTCATTATCTTTGAAACGAAGAAATTACGCAGCGCTCTTGTCATGGTCGTTCGACTGCTGCTATGACGGCGACTGTTATCAGTGCGTTAACTGCACGAACATCGTTGTGCTGTTTGGCTGTCTCCTTAAGTTAGTTTCATTAGTCCAAGAGAAGCTTCCGTTGGTAGGTCCCCATCCGAATGGCAAGGTTGGTAGCACTCGGCATTGACGTTACGGCGCCCCTTGTCATCTCTTTACAGTTGCTATTTGAAAGGAACTCGGTACTTGCCCACGTCGAAGCTTTGGATGGGAAATGGCCGGTGAATCTACGAACCGAAAAAAGCGAAATTCGAAGGCGAAGGGAGCTCTGCCTGCTTTCGGACGAAAGAGTAAGCGAAGGGAATCAGACGGTGGCTCTCAACGACCAGGCCTTTCCGCGTCTGCCACTGTTGGGCTGCAGGCGTTTTTGAGCAGGGAAAGGCTCTATGCTGACTTGGTTTACCGGACATCGTGAAGGCCTGGGTTTGACGCACCCTTCCAGTGGCATTTCTTTCGACCAACAACCAATTTCGTTAATGTATTTCAACTTTAACTTGAATACTTGAATGTAACAAAGTACAACTCACGGTTGGCTTTTTTCAAACTTCTTCTTCTTTTCTCTATTTCTACAAAAAGGGAAAGGCAAGAGCATAACATGTTGATTGTCGAAGGCATGAACGGAGGAAATGCTGCAAGGACGTGACTTGTTTCGACAGCTGATTGGTTGTTAATAGAGACGCAAGTGACATCCCGGATCAGTATTGCAAATTGTATGCAGACTTCGAATTCTAGTATCGCTATTATTGAAACCACATAACTGAAATACATCGCTGTTTTTTTTTTTTATTAGATTGAAGAAAAATATGGGCCTACATTAATTTATGAGCTTTAACAAGGTCAGCTTATATGATTAGATTTAGCAAAATGACGTGTTATGTTGAATGATGAAATATCATTTTATTGGGGTTTTATGTTGGCACGACACATCAAGCTAACTTAACGATAATTGAAGGCGAAATCTATCTTGTGCGAATAAACTTGCCTAGCCGATTAAATACGTTTATGGCCATTGAATGGTCGAGCTAAAGATTGGGCTAGCCCGTAAACGCCGTAAACATCAGAGACCCGCTGTCAGTAGCGATAACTCTCTTTTCAGATGATCACTGGCGTGCCTATAACCGGTTAGTTAACATCCTGCGTAGTTCTGGCTAAGTTCACATGCCACACAGATCATCGTTCTCCAACTGAACCGAGATAATATTCTGTTTTGACCGCAGATGTAAACAGTAAACACGCAAACGAACGAACAAACACCACAGTATAAAATCGGCGATAATTGACGTTTATTTTTAGCATAAATAATGCAAGTCATCCAATATGGCCTACGCGACGTTATAGCAACGTAAACGCTGTATGGATCGAAGTCTTTGCCAAAGCATGTTCCCTATTTAGCAAAACATTCGTATCGGGTTGTTCTTGAACAACTCGATACGAATGTTCATTCAGACTCTTGCCTAAAGCAGTGTCCAGCATCGAAAACGGTACCAGGAAGGTGATGCTTTTGAAGCAACTACATTGTTTGTCATCTGAGAAAGACTTCCGTTAACCTAGTTCCAACGACCAGTTGAATTTTCGTTCCGTTTGTTATATTCTAGTCTATTTTGCTTCGTCTGCGCATTTACTTGTTTAGCTACCTTTTAACGCACGCTGCCTTCGCCTTTTCACTACACCAGGCTTCATTGCCCAAATTTCTTCACAGTGTTTCCTTTTTCCAAGTCCTTCTTTACCTACTGTCTAATAGTAGCTATATCTAAACGGTCGACATTCACTAAATCCGCTACGGTCATGTCATAATGCTTTCCGCAACGTTGTTGTGTTCTTGCTCAATGTGCTGCTCTACTGAAAGCTCCTAAGCTCTTCTCACAGTATCGAGCTTCGGTTTGGCCAATCGGCATTTACACATGCCACGTCCCTACATGCGGTCTTGATCTACTAGTATCCGCCAGTACATTACTTCGACCTCACCACAGACGCTCTCCCACTCTTGCTTACCGCAGTAGCAGATCGCCAAAAGCTAGCTCGTTCATACAATTCTCTGCGCCACGCTTGCACTTGTACTTTGGCTTGACGACTCCCCCAGGCGCCGTTAATCAAGTTGCCGATCTCTCTCGTTTATTCTCATTCTTTTCTTTCTTCTCTCGACCTCCCGGTTTACTTCTCACCCAGCGCAGCCTGCCCTGGGCCCAGACTAACACAAGCAAACTCGACCCGAGCTAATGCACAAAACCCAGCTGCAATGGTAGTCGAAGCCTCTTCGCGTAACCAACCTGGCCTTTGCCTTCCCTTTATCAAACTCGAATCGCCTACGCTCGAGGCAACGAGGACAACAAACGGCCTCGCAGCCGACTACTTGCGAACGATTGCATCTACGCAGAGTTGCCTTTCAATTTATGAGAGGAAAGAAGCAGGCAAAACAGGGTAGGGCGAGATGCTCGGTGGCGTTCGGTGTTTAGTCGTGAAGAACGCCTACGGATACGCTGTGTAAGGGCATCGTGCCAATTCCGTTGCGCTAGATGCTAAGCAGATGTGTTTGGCATGCATCTCAGGATGGTACATGGCACAGGATGGTGTAGGCGTCTTGTGTAAGGATTTGAACTGGTAAGAATAGAGCAAGGGGGCAGAGCAGGTTTGTCATTGGCTGTGTGGCACTGGGCAAAAAGAGTTAAAGTGGCTCGGCTATTTAGATAATGGTGGGGTGACATCTATGCTTACACAGTCACTGACCTAGATCTAGGCTTCTTTGGACGACATGACCGCCTTGTCCGCTAGATTCAGTCGTCACGAGAAACCCAACTGAATGTTCGAAGTATGGGCGTATTGCTGCTTGGGTGGGCAAGCGACACTTTCGTTTAAACTAATACTGAGAATTATTACATGTGTGTACATGTCAATTAGAGATTAGTCGGTATATGACGTATAGTTACTAGATATGTCATAGCGGTATTGCTACGATGGTGTTACCCTGTAGACATCCCTACAATAGACGCAGACAAGCATGCGTACAGCTCCATCCAACAAAAAGGAAGCACGGCGAAAAATGAGGAAACAGGTCCTATGAAATGTGGGAAATTCGGAACGTTTTGGTGTCAATAGCGATTCGATTTATTTGAGCTAAACTGAGGCTGGCTCAGGCCACGGGCATACCGCACACGTTGTAGCGTTACTTGAAGAGGCCGGCCTAGACAGAAGGCTTGTTTGTCTGAAGAAAAGCCAATGTTGTCAGAAGGGCGCTAACACTTTCAAATAAAGAGATGACCCAGTTCAGTTTGAGTGTTGCATATCTGATTTATCAACGAAAAAGTAATTATATTGAAGCTGTTGCATGATGTCTGCTAATTAAAATATAAATAAAAAATGGTATACGGATTAGCATTACATCATTACTACAGACCATAGTTCTTAAGTTACTTATGAAACAGCAACTGAAATTATACGTCATTAATTCACCATATCGATTATAATTACTCAAAATGTAACGCTTCATTTGTAACATTTACAAACTTTGTTCTAACTGTTTCGTTCGGCCGGATTCATATCAATTCATTAGACAAAACACTGAAAGTAACGATTCTTCCTGATAAAGCATTGTAACAATCCTGTCGTAGGCGATAAAAATAGGCACCTTTCCCACTATATTTATAGCCGAGCCGAGCCACAACCTCCGTGTTGCAATGTTGCTAAGCTCAAATAGGAAAGTTTAATTTTTTAGCTTACACATTAAAACCCTGTGAAAAATCAAGAATCCCGAAAAAATTCGAAATATCAGAAGCTCTTCTGGCCTGCAGTCCGCTACGAAAATGACCTTCAATTAGCCACCGAAGGTTCTCTAAACTTATTCTTCCCGCGAAACGCTACTACTAGAGTAAATTTCGTCGACATAAAATTTTTGCTCGGATCATGCAAACAAGCCGTATCCGGCTTCTAAATTGAACTCCAACAACACAGACTTGACCTGTTCGCGGCCGTCCACGGACGCCTATGGATTACGTAGGGTTTCGAAGACGATACTAAGAGCGACAAGAGGGTTCTTGAATATTGCACCGTTTGGCCACTTGACGTAGCGGCTCATTTACAGAAGGACTTTGACCAAAGGAGAAAAAGGATATCGCTGATCTCAATGTAGTCTCATTTCAGACGCTGGATTTCCGATGTTTTCCGAGGCTATCAAAGTAAGAATGTTAGCACGCATGAATTCGGACGGAGACACTACTGCTGTCAATGGTGCCACGAAATATAGAGCTTAGTTTTCTTTCTTGTAGAAACTTTAATATGTGTGATATTGTTTCGTTCACCTGGTCAGCTTGGCCATCTGTCCAGGAGGGAATGGCGCTCGTTTAAGCAGTCTCAAGGATGAGAGACCCCTCCTG